AGGTAGGATTGTCATTTTTATTATATTAGCTCGGCCTACCCATGAGCAACTGATGTTTTTCCAATTATTTAGATCTGATTTTATTTGTGTGAAAAGTGTTTTGTAATTGTGTTCATAGAGTTCCTGGGTTTGTTTCGGGAGGTAGACTCCTAAATATTTTATAATGTCTACAGTAAGTTTAAATGGGATTTCTCTTTCTATCTCTTGCTGTTGGGCTTTGTTGGTAATATATAGAAATGCTGATGATTTATGTGGGTTTATTTTATAGCCTGCAACTTTGCTAAAGTTGTTTATTATTTCAAGTAGTTTTTTACTTGATTCTCTAGGATTCTCTAAGTATATCATCATGTCATCTGCAAAGAGTGATAGCTTTGTTTCTTCTTTGCCTATTCTAATGCCTTCAATTTCTTTTTCTTCTCTATTGCTAAAGCTAAGGTTTCCAGTACAATATTGAATAACAGTGGTGATAATGGACATCCTTGTTTCACCCCTGATCTTATTGGAAATGCTTCTAGCCTGTCCCCATTACATATAATGCTTGCTGAAGGTTTTAGATAATGCTATTTATTATTTTAAGGAAGACTCCATTTATACCTATGCTTTCTAGTGTTTTTAATAGGAATGGGTGTTGTATTTTATCAAAAGCTTTTTCTGCATCTATTGAGATGATCATGTGGTTTCTGTTGGTTTTGTTGTTGATATGCTCAATGATGCTGATAGTTTTCCTAATATTGAACCAACCCTGCATTCCTGGTATAAATCCTACCTGGTCATAGTGTATTATTCTTGTGATAAGTTGCTGCAATCTACTTGCTAGTATTTTGTTTAAAATTTTTGCATCTATATTCATTAGAGAAATTGGTCTATAATTTTCTTTCTCTATTTTGACTCTTCCTGGTTTAGGTATCAACACCATATTTGTATCATAAAAAGAATTTGGTAAGACTCCTTCTTCACCTATTTTCCCAAATAGTCTATATAGTATTGGAATTAATTGTTCTTTAAATGTTTGATAGAATTCGCATGTAAATCCATCTGGCCCTGGAGATTTTTTCCTAGGGAGTTCATCAATGGCTTGTTCAATTTCTTTTTCTGAGATGGGGTTATTTAAGTATTTTACTTCCTCTTCGGTTAATCTGGGCAATTTATATTTTTGTAAATATGTATCCATTTCACTAAGATTGTCAAATTTGTTGGCATATAGTTGGGCAAAATAATTCCTAATTATTGTTTTAATTTCCTCTTCCTTGGTGGTAGCTTCCCCTTTTCATTCTTGATACTAGTAATTTGGTTTTCTTCTTTTTTTTTAATTAAATTAACCAAAGGCTTATCTATTTTATTGTTTTTTCATAAAACCAGCTCTTAGTTTTATTTATTAGTTCAATAGTTTTCTTAATTTCAATTTTCTTAATTTTTCCTTTGGTTTTCAATATTTCTAATTTGGTGTTTAGTTGAGGATTTTTAATTTGTTCTTTTTCTAGTTTTTTTAGTTGTATGCCCAATTCATTAATCTCTCTTTTTCTATTTTATTTATGTAAGCATTTAGAGATATAAAACTTCCCCTAAGAACTGCTTTGCTGCATCCCATAGGTTTTGGTATGTTGTCTCATTATTGTCATTCTCTTGAATGAAATTATTGATTGTTTCTATGATTTGTTGTTTGACCCAATCATTTTTTAGGATTAGATTATTTAGTTTCCAATTATTTTTTAGTCTATCTTTCCATGGCCCTTTATTACATATAATTTTTATTGCGTCATGATCTGAAAAGGATGCATTTAATATTTCTGCCTTTCTGCATTGGATTGTGAGGTTTTTATGCCCTAGTACATGGTCAATTTTTGTGTATGTGCCATGTACTGCCGAAGAAAAAAGTATATTCCTTTCTATCCCCATTCAGTTTTCTCCAGAGGTCTATCATACCTAACTTTTCTAATGTTCTATTCACCTCCTTAACTTCTTTCTTGTTTATTTTGTGGTTAGACTTATCTAGTGCAGAGAGGGGGAGGTTCAGGTCCCCCACTAGTATAGTTTTGCTGTCTATTTCTTCCTGTAACTCCCTGAACTTCTCCTGTAAGAATTTGGATGCTATACCATTTGGTGCATATATGTTTAGTAATGATATTACTTCATTGTCTATGGTGCCTTTTAGCAGGATGTAGTTTCCTTCCTTATCTCTTTTGATTAGATCTATTTTTGCTTTTGCTTTGTCCGAGATCAGGATTGCTACCCCTGCTTTTTTCACTTCAGCTGATGCATAACATATTCTGCTCCAGCCTTTTACCTTTACCCTGTATGTGTCACTCTTTTTCAAATGTGTTTCCTGTAAACAACATATTGTAGGATTATGGTTTTTAATCCATTCTGCAATCTGTTTCCGTTTTATGGGAGAGTTCATCCCATTCACATTCACAGTTACGATTATTATCTGTGTCTTTTCCTCTATCCTTTCCCCCCCCATTTATGCTTTTCTTTCTCCTTTTTCCTTTCCCCCCTTCACTAGTGTTTTGCTTTTGATCACTGCCTCCTTCAGTCCCTTTCCCCTTTCCCTTTTCTTCCCCTTTACTCTTACTGCTTCTTCCCTCCCTTCTTTCCCCCCTCCTTTTTCTTTCCCCTTTTCCCTCTTACTGACTATAGGGCAAGTTAGATTTCTATACCTAACTGATTATATTATGCCCTTCTTGAGCCAAATCTGATGAGAGTAAGGTTCAAACAATGCTCTCCCCCTCCCTTCTTTCCCTCTGCTGTAATAGGATTTTGTGTATTTTCCTGTAATGTAATTTATCCTTGTCTGCCTCCTCCTTTCTCAGTATGTTTTCTAAGATCAGATTGATCCACTTATTTGGATCCATTTAACCCACTTGATTAGATTTAATAAAAAATTTTAAGAAAGAAAAAGAGATATGATGAAAAAATCAGCAAAACCTATAAATATATTGAAAAAGTCTGAAAATATACACATCGTATCAACAGGTAGACTACTCCTCCTTTCAAGAGTGAGGTGGCAGTCTCTTAATTTCTCTTTTTTGGAGCCAGGCTTGTCCTTTGTAATTTTGCAGCATTGATACTTTTGTGATGGTTGTTCTTTCTGTTTACATTGTTGTTTTCATTTTGTATACTGTTTTCTTTGCTCTGCTTAGTTCACTCTGCATCAGTTCATTTAAGTCAATATTTTTATGCTTCTTTGTATTTATCATATTAGCCAGTTCTTACAGAACATATTCTCTTACATTCATGCAACACATTTTATTTAGCCATTCCCCAATTGATAGGCATTAATAGGTTTCCAGTTATTTGCTAATTAAAAAAGTGCTGCTATAAATATTTTGGTGGATATGGGGATTTTCTTCTTATCAGTGACTTCTTTGGGATTATATTCCTACTAAAGGAATATCTGGGTCAAAGGGTATGAACATTTTAGATACTTTATTTGCATAATTCCAAATTGCATCCCAGAATAGCTGTATTGATTCACAGCTTTACCATCAGTGTACTAGTGTGTTTTCTTTTAGTCTCCCCAACATTGACTATTCACCTGTTCATTATATTTATCAATATGCTGAGTATGAAATAAAATCTTAAGATTCTTTAATGTGCATTTCTCGTATTACTAGTGATTTGGAGCATTCTTTAATACAAATATTAATAGTTCACAGTTATTTTGAGAATTTTTGCTTTATATCCTTTGACCACTTATCTATTATAGAATAGCTTTTAGTCTTACGTATCTTTTATTTGTCTATATATTTGGATACTAAATCCTTCTCTGACAAATTTGATACAAAATTTTGCCTGTTCAGGTACTTTACTTCTTAACTCATATGCATTAATTTTTTGTGAAAAATCTATTTCATATAATCAAAATTATTTGATCTTTTGCTTCTCTATCCCTTGTTCAGTTAAGAATACATGTCCTATCCATAGCTGTAAAAGGTATATCCATTTTAAATTTACTTTGGAACGAGGCATAATATATTGGTCTAAACTCAAAACTAATAATAACATTTCCAGACTGCATTTCAGTTTTCCCAACAGTGTTTAGGAACTGGAAAGTAATTTTCTGCATAATTTTGGTTATATTGAACATTGAATTATTGAGTCCCAGAGTTTCTAAATCTCTGTCATCTAGCCTGTTCAATTGATCTACTTACCTTTTTTTAACCATTAGCAAATGATTTTGATGGCTGTTGCTCTTTATAATGTAGTTTGAGCACTAGAAGTGCTAATCTCCCTTTAATTCCTACCTTTTTCAATTATTTCCCTTGATATTCTGGATCTTCTGTTTCTCCAAATGAATTTTACTATTTTATCAAATTCTTTAAAGGGTCTTTTGAGCGTTGGATTGATGTATCATTAATACTGTAAATCAATCTCCATTACATTAATGCACCACAATTTATTTAGCCATTTCCCAATAAACGGGCACTTACTTTGTTTATAAATCATTAGGATTGGAATCCACTTACAAAAAGTGCTGCTATAAATATTTTGGTACATATGGGTACTTTCTTTTCATCAGTGATCTCTTTGGGGTATAAATATAGTAGTGGAAAGTATTTAATTTTCAACATGAATGTCTATCTATGAAATCAAGTGGAAAGAGCACAAGCTAGATAACTCTTTGGGCCATTTCGTTCAGCAACTCAGTCCTACCTGAAAGGTACTGGCCATTTAACCTCTCAGTGAGGCTCTAATATTCTCATCTGTAAAATGAGAGTGTACTAGATCATCTCTAAGGCCATTTTCAGTTTTCACATTAAGTGATTCTAAATTCTGCAATTGATACCCCCCCCCCCATACTATTGTTTGGGATTAGTTGACTGAATAGGTCTTGGGAGTAAATGGTGTGATCATGTGAAAGATACCTATGTAATCTCTCTTGGTTTCAATTTGCTCACTTGTAAAATACGTAGGATGATATTTTCATTATCTATGTCGCAGGACACTTGAAAGGAAAACTTTTAGCAAACTGTAAAGTGATTGGTATAATTGGACACTAGGAAAATATACTTTTCTTTATTCCTGGAGCACCTGAAGTTTCATAGTAAAAATTTGCTGGGAATTCCAGGTCTCGTCTTCTCCAATTCCTGAGGTTCTATTGTGTTGCCTTCCCCAGTTCATCAGACTCAGTCCTCACACTCTTTAAAGGACTTGCAGCTCAAAAATAGACCATCTGCAGGCCTCAGGCTCGCAGCATCACTAGACACCAGCTGGGGGCGAACGAGGGAGAAGGATGGGGAGGAGGCGGGGTTATGACGTCACCCTCGTCAGACGCCACAGAGCCCAACTTCCTCCCTCCCCCGACCCCTCCTCACACCTCATCCTACTAGCCTCACTGGGTTCGGTCGGCAGGGGACGCTAGTGGGCTGGTCTCCTTGGTGACCGGTGGCCCCGCCCCCTTTGCCCCTTTAACCTTTAGGCTGCGCGAGCGGCGCGACCCAGGCCGCTCGCAGGTTTCTTCGCCGGGCACCTTGTACTCCCGGGATTACCCGGCCGGAAGCGAAGATGGCGGCGGCAGGGAGCGGGTCCGCCTCCGCGGAGCTGGTGATGGGCTGGTGGATCTTCGGGCTGCTTTTACTGGTAGGAGGAGGAGGAGGCGCCGCCGCCGCCTGTCACGTCGTTGCTGCTGTTGTGGCTGTGGAGAGAGGAGGAGCTGGTCCCAGAGCCGGCCCCTCTCCGCCGAAAATAAAGGCTCCCCTGTCCCGGCCGGCGAGGGGACTGGCCGGACCGGACGGGACCCGTGAGCGCAGGCCTCCGCAGCCCCGACTCCGGCCCGGCCCGGCCTGGCCTCGCCTCCTTTCCACGGCCTGGGAGTGGGGGGACTGGGTGTTTTTGCGGGCTCCTTTCCTGCCCCTCCCTTGTCTCCTCCCGGTCGGGGCTAGGGAGGAGCCTGGGGCGGGAGGGGGAGCAGGCATCGGGCCTGTCACTGCGGGGGCCGCACTGGGGGACGTGTGCCGGCCTCCCCTGTGTTGGAGACACTGACACGAGGGAGAAGGGTGGCATCCCGGGCTGGGGTGGGAGGACGTGTTTGTGCTCGGACTCGGGAGCCCGGGAGCCTTCAGAGGGCATATTTAGAAGAGACGTGGGGAGCGGGGGCTCTTTCTGCCCCCTTCCCCCTTTCCCCCCTCGTCATCCCACGCACCCCCACCCACTGCCCACGCCCCGAGTTCAAGGTCTCTTCCCATTGTACGGTTCTCGACATCGTGACGTGGGTGCCGCTTCGGACTTCCTGGGTCAGGCGCCCACTCTCCCCCCTGTCCCATGGGTTGGTCTGGTCAAGCCTATGGACCTCCTTTTCAAAACAATGTTTCTAAGTGCATAAAATACACAGGATTACAAAGAAAACAAATTGAAGTACAGCTATCAAGATTTTTTAAGGAATCACAAACTCCAAAAGCTTCTGAATATAGTTAGATCTAGAAGAGACCTTAGGAAATAATGTGGTTCAGTGGTGTCAGACTTAAGTGGAAGCGGATCCCTGGGGCTTCATACTGACTTAGAAAACCTTAAATTAACGTTATCTATATTGTGTTGTGGTTTTTTTTTTCTGTCAAATATTTTCCAATTACGTTTTAATCTGATTCAGCCCTACTCAGTAAGGTTGCAGGCATTTCGGGCTAGGGATTAGAGCTGAACTTTAGTAGTTTAGCACAGTGCCTGAAGCATAATAAATTCTTAATTGATTATTTATCTGGGCTTGGATTTTCACATTTATAAAATGACGTGCTTGGCATACCTGGCCTCTGATGCCCCTTAGCCTGCAACCTTGTGACATTTATTTGACTCATTTTGACTCAGGGTATCAATTTGTAAAATGAGAGGTTAGACTACTTGCCTTTTGTAGCTTTAAGTCTGTTAACCTTAAAATAAAAAAGCATTTAAGTACTTTCTATATGCCAGGCCCTGTGGTTGACACTGAGGATACAAAGGACTAAAAAGAAACATCCACTTGTTCCTAAGGAGCTTAGTTTCTTTTGGGTTATTCTAGATCATAGATTTTTAGTCTTTTTATTGTGTCATTGACCAATGGCAGTCTGGAGAAACCTATGGATCCCTTCTCAGAATAATGTTTTTAAATTTGTAAAATGTAACATAGAATTTTGAAGGAAACCAATTATATTATAGTTCAGTTATCAAAATATTAAAACATTCATGAACCCCAGGTTAAGAACTCTAGCACTATGGTCCTGTGACTCATTTTCCTGTGAAGTGTAAAAACTTTGGACATCCTTGGACACTTTGTCTTATACTTTCTCTTCATTCCTTTCCTCTTTGCTGTTGCTTTATTCTCCTAGTTAACTTTGCCCACTTTTGACAGGATGTCTAAGCTGTAGTAAAGACTTGGGTTGTTTACCTAGGTGATTACTCTGCATTTTCCATACTGGGGTCTGGAATTAATGCAGTAATTTAATTCAGCTAGTAAATAAAGTCAGGTTAGTGCTGTAGCAGAAAGCCTTCAAAGAAAATGATTTAGACAGGTTGAAGGATTAGAAGAAAAAAGTCAGGTCATCAATGGCATAGTCAGGTGGCATTAGGGTAGCTGTTATAAATCAGTCTTCAAATATTTATTGGGTTCTAGGCCTCTGGGGAGAAGAAAGAAAATGGTCCCTCTAGGACTAGACATCTGGTAGGGAAGACAAGATTTAACATGGAGCAAATCAGAGAATAAGTGCTAAACTGAGTAGGTACTAGAAAAGGGAGTCAGTATTGGCATAATTAGTGAGGGCTTCAAGGAAGAGGTAGATCTTAAAAGGTTGGATTTGAATTGGTGTAGAGGAAGGACACAGGAACCGTGGTGAAATGAAATGTCTTTTGGGATTGTAAATAGACCTGCAAGATTTGAGTAGGCTATTGGTGAGCGGTGGTAAATAGGATTGGAAACATAAGATAGGTTAGATCTGGAGTGGGGAACCTGCCGTTGAGGCCACGTGTGACCTTGAGGCCAAAAGTTCCCCACCCCTTTGAAAGTTAGGCAGAATATTTTGAACTTGATGTGATATCAAGGGCATTGTAATATAGAAGGGCATTTTAAACTGAAGAAGGATAATGGTGTGATGGAAGTGGTTTTTTTTTTTAGACTGATTCTTTAGCAGTGGTATAGTCATTGCATTTTGAAGTTGTGAGAAGCAGGTATCAGGACCTTGATATTGGAGGTTTTAATCAATTTAGAACAACATTATTTGGCACTAAATGCTTATAAAGTAAATGCTTATAAATGTGGTACCAACAGGTGGTCATTCTGCCTTTTCTCAAAGCCATTCAGTGAGGGGGAACCCATTACCAACTGAGGAAGTCCATTATGCTTTGGGATAGCTCTGAATGTTAGAGAAGTTGCTTTATGTCAAGCCTAATAAATCTGTCCCTCTGCAGCTTTTATATTTATTCGTTTTAGTTCTGCCCTTCAGGGACAAAGCAGAACAAAACTAATCCTTCTTGGGCAATTAGGTGGCTCAGGAGATAGAGCAGTAACTGGAGTCAGGATGACCAGAGTTCAAATGTGACCTTAGTCACTTAATATCTGTGTGACCCTAGGCAAGTCACTCAACTTCTATTTGCCTCTTTTCTCATCTGTAAAATTAGAATAATAATAGTACCTACCATACAGGGTTGTTGTAAGGATCAAATGAGATAATAATTATAAAATGCTTAGCACAGTGCCTGGCACATAATAAGCGCCATGTAAACATTAGCCATGTCTAAAAATATTTTGCCCTTTTTTTTTGTAATTTTGAATTTATCACCTTTGTATCAGGAGGTGAGAGGCATATTTCATCTTTATTCTATTGAACCTCTTTTAAAAAAATTCTAGTGTGCAGTATATCCTCCATTTGTTGCAGGATTTATTTTAGACTTTTATATAGCATTGACATCACAAGATGTTACACCTTTTTTATTCATCATGACATCACATTTTTATCACATTGGATATTAAGTGTACCTTTGACAAACAACTCTTTTTTTTTTTAAACCAAATCTAGCTTGATTATAACCCAGAAGTTTTCAGTGCAGTTTAAATTACATGAGTTCCCAGGCCACTGAATAATGTTTACTTCCATTTCTTTGATATATTTTTAACTGTTTGTAACATGTGTCCTGGACATGGTTGAAGGTCATGTTGTAGTATTATATCCCCATTTGGGAATTTTTGTAATACTATGAGTCTCATCAGTAGAAATTACCTTTTTCAGATTTTTAGTACTCCACTTTATATTTTCTTATCCATGAAAAACATTTTTTTTTCATTTTTACTATCTTCCCACTATTTTTCCAACTTCAAGATGACTATGTAGAGGAATCAGTAACAACCCATCCAGGTGCCATGTCCTAATGAAGGTCTCTGTTTTCTGCAGATTTATTCAGCTTTTTTAAAGTAATATTTTCCTAGTTCTTGGTGTTTTTTAAAATTTGTTTTTTTACCTCACTTTTCTTTGTGCTTTGGTGTGATTGATTCCATTTCTTTTTTTATGACTAAAAATTATTTTGTTTCCAAGTCAATAAGCCTTTATTAATCATGTACAGTATGCCATAAGTGATCAACAGAGTCCAAGGCTGCAGAAAAGTTGAGAAGAATGAAGCCTAAGAAAAGGCCATTGAATTTGGCACTGAAAAGATTTTTGGTAACTTTGGAGGGAGTAGTTTTTATGGAATGATGAGGTTGGAAGCTGGATTGTAAGGAGTTAAGAAGAGTGAGAGGAAAGGGTAGCCTTTTCAAGGAGTTTAGTTGCAAAAGGCAGAAGAGATTTAGAATGATAGTGAAGATGGAAAAAGGATCAAATGATTTTTTTGAGGATGAAGGAGTCATAGACATGTTTGTAGATGGGGCAAAGGAGACAGTAGACAGATTAAAGATAAATGATAGAGTAGTGATGACAGAGGGAGCAGTCTATTGGTAGAGAAGGGGTGGAATGGGATTGCTTGTTCAGGTTGAGGGATTAACCACTTTATCATGTGAGACAAGGGTGGAGGAGACAGTAATAGCACAAAGTATCTGATTGATAAGGGATGAGGAAGAGAAGAGGACTTTTTCTGTAAGATAGGAAAATAAGTTTTCAGCTGAGAAGGTTGGGGGGTGGGGAGCCATGAGAGGTTTAAGGAAGGATGAAAGCATATGGAAAAGTAGTTGTGGAGAAGGGGATAGAGTTGATAAGGGAGATATAATAGGATCGCTTAATGGCAATGAGGACCCATTTGAGGTTGTGTAACAGATTTGTAGTGAACTGGGTCAGAATAGCTGCTTGATTTTCTCTACCTTTTTTCAACAGGCATGTCTTACAAGAGTGAAGATGGCAGATGTTGGCAGTGATCCAAGGTGGAGGCAAGACACAATGACCACTATAAGAGGGTCAGGTATTCAAGAGAAGAGGATAGGGTAGAATTGAACTGGTTCACCAAAGGGTCAAGGGGAGAGAGACTAGTGCAGGGTAAAT